TACAAATCGCGAACTAAGATTTGTAAAACGCGGACTGAGTCCGTGTTTTACAAATCGCAGGCTGCAATTTGTAAAAGGCGGACTCAACGCAGTGCTTCCATTTTCAAGGAAATTTCCTTTTCTAAGGAAATTCTAGTGTCGAAAAGGAAAATCTAAGGAAGAGAAAAAATCTAAGGAAATCTAAGGATTTTTTCCCAACAACTTAAATATTCATCCAAGTGCATTAGTGCAGAAGAATGTTTTGCTATTTCTTGAATTTTTGAGTGAATTATCAATTATGTTCAATTAAAAATCTGGTTTTAACTTTTTCCTCGTGTTTCCGAAAACTTCCGAAAGTTTTTGAGCGACAGGATTTGGTATCTTTTGGCGCCAAACGCTGTGAATTAATTATTTATATCAATGGCAAGGTATATGTTGTAAACTCACTGAACAAATATTTAATTTTAAACAGTATAATAGCCTGTGGTTTTTTAGCTAGCAATTATCTTTGTTAATTGTGCTATTTTGTGCCTTTAAAATTGATTAAATCCTTGGTATTGCTACAAAAGCACTGCAAAGGTCTGCAAACCGCCTAATGAAGTTTCAAGGAATTTTCAAGGAAATAACGTATACAATCTAAGGAATTTAGAGAAATTTTGATGACAAAAATGAGAAATTTTGATTTTGAAAATGGAAGCACTGACTCAACGACAGTTTTGGCGGGAATTGCGGATAATAGGTCGGTCAAGGAATAATCATATCCTGGACCTATTAGGTTGGTATAAATTACTATTATTTATTTAGTGTTTCAGTGAATAAACAGATATTTAACTGCGTTCAATCTTAGGAACACGCTCAGTCATGTGGGACTTTGTGCCACTATTGTCGAGGAAACTCATGCGTATATCAAATGTGGCCGTTTCACATGTAAATATAGTTGTACGTCTGTATAGATATAGCTCTTATAGCAGATATACCACTTAGTGTTAATCATAATTAGACGAAAATAGAGTTAATTCGTTTATTTTGTGTTCGTGGGGAAGAGGGCGTATTAAATAAAGGTGTCTACAAATTTGAGAGAAATATGAAATGAATACTGTAATCGAATTTACCTTTCAAATATTTGTGTTATCAAGTCTATTAAACGGGGAAACTCTCGCAGGCCATCAAAACATCAAAGGTGGTGTTGTGAATGTTGTGCATATAAATTACAATAAATTTAAATTTCTTAACTCAGTATTGTTGTCGTACGAGGAAGTTTCTAAAAATCGTTATTGGATTATAGTATTCATTTCGCATATTTCTCGCAAATTTATATATACACTCGTTTTCAAAATTACGCGACCTCCCTGAAAAATATACTAGGCCACATAAAATAAATTCCTTGATTCTCATCACTAGAATTTGAAAATGTCGAAGAGCCGGGAGGTTTATATTTTATATTTATATAATTTATCATCAATAAATAAAAAACTGATTCCTAACATTTAATATTTCTGTGATTTCCAAAGTGAAGTGTCACAAACCAAAATGAACATATTTCTCCACGAACAATGACTGAACCCTTCAACTGAATGCGAAGTTCCGTTAAAATGCAATGAAATTTCTTTCAAGGTTCTATTTGTTTGAAATTGGCAGTTTAAAATGGCACTAAAAACCCAATTTTAAATATAAAAAACTTAACTGTCTTGAAATATTTTGTCGGGCGGTTCATTTATATTGTACATATAACAAAATATAAAAAAATTTTACACGGCTCTTAAAATACAGTCGGGCGGTAATGAGAATCAAGGAATTTATTTTATGTGGCCCTATTTAAATACTTCAAATGTCAGTTTTATGTCACAAAAACTGCTAAAAATAGCAAACGTAAACAAACTGTGAAAAAGCGTATTTAATACCAAAACTGAACAAAAATTAGTTAGATAACTTAGATATACAAACTAAAGCACAATACAAACCATCGCAACAGAAATATATGTCGTGAATAACTTTTAAACTGTTTGAGAACTAACAATTTATCCTGGAATTTTAAGCTGACAGTATAAAACACGCGCGCTAGACTATAACGGTGACGTTTATAATTATATGATTTTGTTTGTGCTTAAATTTTGCAATAATTCGCACTAAAATATCTTGAAAATCATTGTAAGCCTATTTGTATAAAGCATAATAAGCATATACATCGACAAGGAACGGGAAAACTCAAAGTTTAAACTTCGTGACCGAATGACATAAAACTGACATGTCAACTCTAGCATTTTCGACCTTGGTCGCGTAATTTTGAAAACGGGTGTAATTCACTCTCTTCGCCCCGAACACAAAATAAACAAATTAACTCATCAGTTTAAGGCTAATTATGAATAATACTAAATGGTATCTGCTATAAGAGCTATACTGACCCAGGGGCGAAACTAGCCCCTTTTAATTCGGGGGGTGTCTGCCAATTCCTGTTAAAACATGGCTTAAACCCTTATTTTTGGACCCGAATATAAATTCTATAAATTCCCTCTGAAAGCCCTGTAAATTACTTAACTCTACATTCTATCATTTAAAATCTTTGATTGCCCTGCCAATCCACATGATTCGTATTGGGGGGGGGGTTATCGCCCCTATAGCTATATCTATGCAGTCGGCATACAACTATATTTACATGAAACGGCCACATTTGATATTATACGCATGAGTTTCCTCGACAATAGTGGCACAAAGTCCCACACGAAAGGCGTGCTCCTAAGATTGAACGCTGTTCATCAGTTTATTCAAAACAATAAATAAATAATAGTAATTTCTACCAACCTTAGGTCCAGGATATGATTATTCCTTGACCGACCTATTATCCGCAATTCCCGCCAAAACTCTCACGACTGAGTGCAAATTCCCGCCAAAATCTTTACGACTGAGTCACTTCGATGTTTGTCAGGAAATGAGTCCGCCTTTTACAAATTGCAACCCGCGATTTGTAAAACACGGACTCAGTCCGCATTTTACAAATCTTAGTTCGCGATTTGTAAAACACGGACTCAGTCCGTGTTTTCCCGGTCCAGTCCAGTCCAGTCCGTGTTTTACAAATTCAGTCCGTGATTTGTAAAACACGGACTCAGTCCGCGTTTTCCCGGTCCAGTCCAGTCCAGTCCGGTCCAGTCCAGTCCAGTCCGTCTTTTACAACATGCCCTGCACACCTATGTTGTGAACGACATTTTATACTTCAACGATAAGCCATATTTCATAAAATGTATCCCGTTGACCTTGTCGTCGAGAACGAAACATCAGATTATGTTTTTGCATTTGCATTTGCAATGCTACCAAATCAAGTATGTACTGTACCTGACGCGAAACGACTAATTGAACTAAGTATCGAGACACTAGCCCGACCAACCACGAATGCAGAAGTCTCATATTTATATTCATGACTAGGGATTATTTGAAAAGCCTCCCCTGCTATCAATATAAAACCAAACTAAAATGAAAGGTTTTATCGGTTTTCTCGCCTTAGACTTAGTTTATATTATGCTTTTTATAATACCAGCATTGAATGCTGACAATGCTAGCTTGTGCTAGACTGCTAGTCAATGAATTACATTTTAAAATTACTTTTTGATACTCAAATAGTATTTTTATCATTTTAGCTCAGAATGTATCTCGAAAATTGTTTATCCAGTTTAAAAATACTGTGATATACCTGGACTTAAATATACCTGGACTCAAATATACCTGGACTCATAAATAAAATATTGAAGAATTCAATAAAGATATCTTATAAAACATAGTCCACTTACTGTATCGAGGTTGTCGTGGTCCTGCCATGTTTGCCTTTCAAAACAAAACAACTTCCACCGGCGCTTCGAACTCCATTTAAAACATACTATTCGACAGAAACTACAGCTTTTAAAACGAATAAAATAGTTTTGAACTCTTGTATACAACTTTTATACTTTTCCAAATTAAAACCTGAAAAAATTTTCGTATTGTGTTTTATTTTGGAAAAAGTTTTCAAAACATAAACTTTTGGCGCGAAAATCATAATCTCGGCCCCAGGCCTCTCTCCTTTAGTTTATTAAAAGCTTTTCTGGGCCAAATCTGGGCCTAGAAAAGCCTATTAAAATGGTTTTTAGATTTCAAATTCATAACTTATGTAGCTTTATAGAACTTTCATTAAATAGTTTTACAGCCTTGTTTTAGAGTAGAACAATACGTAGCTAGGTTAAGCGATTAAAACGCAGGGTCATGATTGAAATGGCGCCAACCCAACGTATCTTTTAATCTTCTGAAAATTAAGGCAATGTCTTAATTGCCAAAAAGCGCATAAATTAGGACATTACCTTTAATTTTACCTGTATCCGTAACCCTAACCTCTAACCTTAGTCTGACCATAATCTAACCCTTGACCCGTGAGCCCCATATATTGAGTCTAAAAAGTCAAGTCAAGATGGCGGAAATTAAAGAGTTATTGGACATCAATTCCAGTCCCTCCTATTGTCCCTCCTATTCTTTGTCTGCCCGCAGCCTAGTCCCTAAGCCTCTTAGTACGCCTATTGCGCGTTTCTGCATGTTAATGACGTCACGGAAATCAAAGGCGTGCACAGGGGACTACTCTGGTCTGCCCGGTTAGCACGAAGCTGGCAAGGAGTGTGCCGAATTTCGTATTTTGACTTCGATTTGAAGAATGCTACTATAGGTTTCCTGAACTGATAACTTGTTTAGCCATAGTCCGTTAGAAAAAAACTGGAATTGGCTGGGAAAATGGTAGAATACTGTTCACGACCTTCATAGATATTAGACGTCAACTGCTCACTTATCTCACAGGCCGAATTTCTTGATCCAGAAATACATAGCAGTCGTGTAGCTCATTGGTAAAAACACGTCCTAAAGGACTTAAAAATGTATACCTCTATTGGCTCGTTTTTAATGAAACACGAATTGAATTTTATATGCGAGGGCATTAGTGCGTTAACTCAAGTTAGAGTTCACTGGTTAGCTACGCTCATATGAACAGTCCAAACCACAGGGAATCTGATGTCCTGTTTAATATATCTTAATAAATTAATGCGAAGGTCACAATGGACCACTGCAATGGACCTAAGAAGTGCTTACGTCACGAAATTTTCAAACAATGAATTATTGACCCAAAAGTATCCCACAATTCACAGTGCCATTCCAGAAGTCCTCTGTATTAAAAAATGCGTGACGTAAGCACGGTCTATTGCTAGAGGGCCTGGAGAATGGTAAACAAAATGGCAACACTCCAGTGAACTCTATAAAGATCTAGAGGACTTGATACGTACGCTCTTTGCTCTTGCTTACGCCATAAAGCCTATGCAAATAAGAGCCATGGCATACGTCATAATTTGTCAGCACTTTGAAACATTTGCTAAAGTTGAGTATACAGACGAGCAAATACAAACTTTACTTAGAAAACTTGCTCGTCTGTAACGGGATTAAAACAGATGGATATTGAAATTTATATAATACCTTATTAAATTCTAATCGTTTAATTGGCTGTTTATGATCACGCGATATTGAATAGAAAATTCCATTTCCCAAGAGTGCAATGGAACGCGTTCCATTGTACTCTCCGCGAGTGCAATGGAATAAAACGTATAGTACAATTGCACTCTTTGTGTTTTCGATAAATCGCATCCCTCAAAATGCTTCTCATATGAATCTATTAGTCTGTTCTGGACTTTTGGTATTATATAAAACAATGGAACATTCCATCTTTCACCTCATGAAAATATTCTTACCATTGCACTCATAAACATTCATTATTTGTATAATCTTAAACTTTGAACAAGTATGTCATTAGACGTTAAATGTTTTATAGTTTCACGATTTTGGTCGTGACTGTCGCGATCATGGTACTATTACAAATAATGACATTATCCCGCTTTGACTTCGTCCCGGTCTCACGTAAACGGGGCCCAAAACTCTTTCTAACTACTCTTTAACTACCCGTTCATTTCTGTATACTAACTACATCCTTTGCAGTTACAGTTAACTACTTTGTTAACTACACCTTTATGCAAATGACAACAACGAAGAGTCGAAGACAGATTCAAATAGGCAATTCCAGCTTTTAATTGATGCGTGCAGGGAGGGATTGGAAGTAAGGTATCATATTGCTGATTATGCTGAAAAAATAAAAATGGCGGCCGTGTAAACACTGAGTGATAGCTTATACTTGTAAATATTGAAATATCTCGGTTGTTTCGGCAGTTTTTATTGAATCTTTTCAGCATAATCAGCAATATGATACCTTACTAACCGTCACTCCCTGCGCGCATAAATTAAAAGCTCGAATTGTCTGTTAACTTGGTTGCACGAGCCGGGACAAATGGCAATCATGCTTAAAAGTTGAAGATGAAAATACGGTAAGGTCTAATGACGATATAGTTGAGAACTAGCGTTAACGTTGAGATTTAACTAGTTGTATCAGTCTCCATCGAGTCAGTCGTAGTTTGTTCTTGTGGTGCTGGTGTTTCCTCACTAAACATAAACTCTTGTTGATATTCTTTAAGAAACTGAGATGAGCGACATTCGTCGAGGAATAATGAGTACACACGTTTGATGTCATCTATCTGGACTTCTGTGCCCTGAGATACAAAAATTGAATATTTAAAATACAAACGGTGACTTACACCATGAATAATTGAACATCTAAGTCGTTTCCGACTTATACTATGAAAAAAGGCCCTGTCACACTATTGCGTATCGTACTAGCGCATGCCAGCGTATGAAAAATATCACTCATACGCTGGAAAACGCTGACATACGCTAGGGGTATTTTAGGCATAGGTTGTATACGTTTTAAGCACGGTCGCATACGGTAGCATACGCTGGCATACGGCGAGGCAGAAAATTTTGCTTAAAAATTTTGTGCGTATTCGGACGTATGGTTTATACGATAAGCATACTCTAGGCGCACGCTGAATACGCTAGAGCCTGGCTAGAGGTACGCCAGATGTACGGTACTCATACGCCGGCATTTCAAAGGATTTTTGTGCGTTACCGTATGAAAATTATTTCATTAATTTTCATACGCGTCTCATACGTTTCTTTCATACGCAATAGTGTGACAGGGCGTTTCCCCACCTTTGCCCCATTTCTAAGAACGCCTGTGGAGGAGGTAGGTACATACTGCTGCTGTTTATCTTGAATATATTACCTTTCTTTTTCTACAGACCAGACTGGCAGCAGTAATAAGTTGTATGGCGTATCTCAAAGACGTCTCTTGTCCAATCTTAGTTAATACTCCCATGGCGTCTTCTGACATCTCCACATCCTCCTCTTCACATCTACATAATCACATATACTGGTTACAAAAGCATGGATCACGATTAATAAGAAGTAAATTTAAACTGTCGCTAACAGCGATTTCTGACAGCACTTTCTTATTCAGCCTGCATGACAGGGATTTCTTATCCTTGAACTATTCCTAATTCTTACAACTTTTTCTACAACCTAAACAGTCATTCTTTACATGACTATTTAGGATGCACTAAAATCAATGATTTAAGTTCCGACCGGAACAGGATGGAGAAAAAATCTGGCCGGAATTGAGTTTATTTGATTAACCGTTTATCATTACTGTATGTATGTGCTAGTTTGTTGACTATCATGGTATAGTACTGTCCAAAGTCATATAATACAAATGTTATCATTATCAGTAATGTGACCTTTCAAATATCTGCTCGATGTTCATCAGTAAATGAACTTTGTATTCTTTTTCCTAGAGAAGACAAAGTGCCGGTTCGCGGCCATGCTTTTCTTATCAGTTCTGGCCGGAACCAGAACCTAAAAAAATGAGAGTTCCGGCCAGAACCGAGTTTTCGTGCACCACCAGCTAACTATACGAGATAATTATCAATTATTGGACGAGGTTGAGCAAAATATCGTGATGCATCGGCAAATAATTGATCTGCTCGCCACCGACAAATCACGATATTTTGCGAGAAGCGAGTTCAATAATTGTTTTATCATTCACTCATAAAGCTTCATTTTATCTTTCGTTTAATATACGTTCGCCGTCTTTTGAGCCAACTAGATCGTCTTCGTTGATTTATCTTGCTTCTAAATGCTGGCGAAAGACGGTGACAGCGGTTTTAGTCGCTTTTTTATTTTCCGCGTTTTTTTCTTCAAGTAAGCAAGACAACTCATTTTCCGAAAGCTAGCAAAGCGAGCCGCTATTGTTTACAAAAATTGAAGGCAATGCGCATGCTCAGACTATTATTTGTAGCTGAGCAACGTTTTTAACAAATGCGCATGCTCAGACTATTATTTGCACGCAGTTATTTGCAGGTAAATTAACCAATCAAAATTGAGAATACTATAAAGTGAATGATAATACAATTTCTTCCGAGTGTTGAACAGGACATCTCACGAGTGAAATAGCTTTCATATTTCAAAGCGTCGATGTTTTGTTGCATGGGCAGTAAAAATTTAGTTGGGACATGGGCAGTAAAAATTTAGTTCATTTGAAAGAGCTTCGAAATAACTGCTTGCCAATGTCCTTTAACATATAAAAGATTGTGCTGCAGGGCCGTATTACTTAGCAAAATCAGCATTAATTAATTACAACAGCCAGCGATAATGTTTTCAGTCGTATTTTAGTGGCGGAAAAATAAAAAAAACCCCACTATTTTATATACCAAATATTTTTGTCATAGACAAGTTACCTTATTGCTAAAATCTGTTTCAGTTCTTTCTCTTCATAAGGCGTGGTTGTTATAATGAGTAATCGATCAAGAAGATCAAGTGGAATGCCATGAGGACTGTTGTAGTTTGTACCACGGATTCTGCAGAGTAAAAAAATGTACTCATTGACAATATCAATGTGGCTCCCATAGATATCTTATATAAACTAGATAGCGCATCTCTTTTAGTAAAATTGAAGCCAAGAATATTCCAGCGGTTACCCCCATTTGAATAGATGGCGGCCATGTTGGAGTTTTCCACTCGCTAATAAACGCTTATAAAATAACAATAACTTTCATCATTTGAATAGTTTGAAAATGTATTTGGAATAGGTTTAACTTAATGTTTAAGTTCCCTGTTTAAGAAATAGAAAATATACGAATCATCTCATTTCATGGGAATATCCTGAGTCTGCAATCACGGCTTCAATTTTTGAATTGCAAAATAATTAGATGCACCATCTAGTGTACATAAGATATGGTGGCTCCAACAGTTAGTACACTTTAAAAAACTCTACAGTCACGACCTTCGAAATCCAGCCACGGCAGGGAGAATTTTCTGGGTACGGCTTGAACGTATTCACTCGAGAAAATTTCTACCGAGTTGCATGAGAGTATCAACTCTTATTCCCGATGAAACGAGAAAAGCAGTTGCATGAGAGTGTATGGGTAAGCGAAAGTTAACATGAGTGTTTCTCAACTCTTGTGTCTCAAAAACAGGGGAGCTGCATGAGAACTGCATGGATATTAGTATAGGTAATTAATAGCATGGTTTCGAGTGCAATTTGGATATAACATGCACGAGTGAGTTTTTCAAAGACCTCAAAATAGCACGAGTCCGAAGGACGAGTGCTATTTGAGGTCTTTGAAAAACTCACGAGTGCATGTTTATCCAAATTTCACGAGAAACCATGCTATTACTTATTAATAATTTACATAAAAATGTTCGAGACAATTGTAGTTTTAACTTACGAGTTTATAGCGAACATTCCACTGGCAAAGTTTTCCTGGCTTTGTTATATCACATTATACAACGCTAACAGCTTGAAAATTCCACTCAACTACGTAATTTTGTTAGTCTTGTTTAAGGTAAATGCTTTTCCATTTAAAAATAAAGATAAAAGCCATATTTTCCACGCGAAGGCAACTTTAACTTTGTGTAGCGCGGCGCCATATTTGTTTTGTTTTGAAGCAATCTGTGACCGTTACTTCTTCAAATAAATTGCTTTAAACTGATTGGTTGATTTAATCATCACAATGTTTTTCCATCAATCAGATCAGTTTGTTACAGATTTTTGCACTGTGATTACAGAAACTTGCACTGTGATTACAGAAACTTGCACTGTGATTACAGAAACTTGCACTGTGATTACAGAAAATTGCACTGCTGTTTGGGATTAACTGCATTGAAATCAACCAATCACAGTCGAGTAATATCTTTATGTATATTATTAACACGGTAACATGGATATTATGAAAATTTGAACCAGCTCAAAGTTGATGAGAGTTGATAAAGTGCACGAGAGTCGACGAGATTGGGTTGAAGAGTTGCAACTCTCATCTTCACTTGACTGCATGGGGCTGATGAACCTTACCATTCAAAATTGGTTGTTTACATTTAATTTATAGATCGAATATAAAAATACAGTAGATTGTAGAATTTGAAGAGTATGTTATAACAGATCAGAAGGGTATATTATAAGGGTATATATTATAACAGAGTTTATAATCTTACTTGGTGATTCCTCTGTTAGTAGCCATGATAAGGATCGGAGACATATCACTTTCCAAAGCACGATTAAGAAATGAGAAGCATTCTATATCCAACATGTGCACTTCATCAACAAACAATACCTGACAAGACATAAAAAACAAATATAAAAAGAGGTTCTAACGGAGATGCAGGGAACTCTGCAGCACAAGCAGTTCGGAGAAAGTTCTGCCTGGTTATCATTTTGCAGGGTGCGATAAGTCAAGATTTTTAGTCGTATTGTACCTTACTGGTACTCAATATCGTACAGTCGTACCTTACTCGTACCTTACTCGTATGTACAAATTTAAGACTCAAGGTGTACTTAACTTTTAAAGTGAAACACATACAGAGATACAGATATTTCACAGCACACTCCCTATAGGGCTTTTCAGTGACTGGTTACATTATGAATAGATAGATAGAACCGGACATTATGAATAGATAGATAGAAGCAGACCGAGGTAGACTTTGAGCTTACAAATGCCGCTTGAGCAGTCGCTATTAGTCCGTACCTCATTAATGATCTGCCTCCAGACCTATGTGCCTAACCCACCCTGTCAACTTTCCCTGTGGGAGGAAACACGGAGTACCCGGAGAAAACCCACGACTTTCGGCAGAGCGTTGACTTTTACTCTTTTCACATGAGGACTGGGTTCGAGTCACATTGAGAAGTTCTCATTGAGATTCGAACCTGCGGCCTTAGAGGTGAAAGGCAAGTGCGCTAACCACTTCGCCACCGAATCCCCACATTTCCCCCCACATAAAGTACAGGGTTCCGAAAGGTATTCATTTAGTAACCTGAAACTATGAGCTAGAAAAGGAGGGAATTGCATATATTGTAAACCACAATCGACTCCAACATTCTCCCGCGGGGTTATATAATAGAGAGTTTACGGTATAAGCTGTACAAATATCAAGCATACCCCAGGTACTATCTCAGCCTTTCCTTCCTCCCTCCACTCAGCAACCTTAGCATTGATCTGTTCTCGAACCTCTCCTTTTATCTCACCAGTGTCGCCTACAACAAGGAAAATGAATTATATAATAACTACAATATTGAGACTGAGACGATCCTGCACGGACAATTTAAATATTTCGTGCACTTAAATTGGATAAGACTCGCTACCAATCCCCGTTCAACCTCGTACCCAGGGTCTCTTGGGGAGCAAAGACCCTGGTAGACGCTGGTCACGTGATCTGCTAAAATCTAGCAGATTTTTAATTAACTATCTTGGTTTTCTTCACAACAATCATACAAAATGCAAATTATAAATTTTAATTTATAATTTTATTTTTTTTATAGTTTAAAAACTATCAAAATAATCCAAATATAAAATGTTTATTGACCAGATCTTGGATTGTTAATTAAAAATCTGCTAGATTTTAGCAGATCACGTGACCAGCGCCTACCAGGGTCTTTGCTCCCCAAAGGGAAAGACCCTGGGTACAAGGTTGATCCCCGTTGACTCGATAGCTCAATGGGTAGAGCGGGGGTCTAGATACCCGAAGATGCGAGTTCAAACCTCGCTCGATCCGACTAATTTTTCGTTGGTCTATTGCAGTGTCAGAATAATATAAAACTAATAGAAAACATTTCAATGTGTGAAATAAACAATAACAGTATATTAACGAACGGCAAGTTCACCAAAACAGTGAACAAAGGTTTACAATAACTACAGAGAATGAATTAACTTGACCATTGTTTCACTGTAGTTATTTTATAAAACAATTACCGAATGATTTTTTTCTTGCAGGATAGCGTGATCCATGCACTTGGGATGTTTCTCGACTTTAGGAAAGTGAAAAATGCCTTCCGAAAGTCTCGAAACATCCCGCGAGCATGCATGGATCACGCAATCCTGCACGGAAAACCATTCGGTATTTCTTTATTGCCATTCAGAGAAACTACGCAGTCTACAACCAACTATCTAGATATCCAAAGAGCAACAACGTAGTCTTACATGAATATAACTGAAGAAGTAAGGCAAAGTTTCTTGAAACAGTACCTGCATGATTGCTACGATATTAATAACAACACAAAAATATAAACAGTATTTGTGCTAGTTGCCTAACAATTCACATTTTAAAAAAAATCCCATTCCTAGTAATGTTATAATGTAAGTCCTGTATAGGCAGCCCAAAAATACGTGCTATTTGAATGGATCTTTTATGTAGTCTCATAGCTTGGAGAAAAGTTTTGAAAGCTCGCATGTCAAAATCTTTCACATGGACTTTTGAAATGATGTAGGTTTTTTATTGTTTTTGCTTGTAATTTGCGAAATATTCATATTTTAGTAGACGTTGAAATAACTTTCCGTTAAAAATCTTGCCAACCTTCTTGGGTAAAGACCAACCTAAAATGATCATGTTTTGTGATTGGCTTTCAGAAACAAAAATTATCATTGTTCGTGACTCGTTCTTTAGAAAGACGACAATCTATAGTTTTATTGTCTTTCATTGTTATAATCAACTAACGACGAGCCAGGATAGTAGGCCTATAGACAGATGATGACCCACCTTGTCATAATAATAAACAAAGTATAGACTCGTATATGCATGCGCGAGCGTGAGATTCTCCCGCGCGAGCTTTCAAAACTTTTCCAAGCTATGAGATTATATAAAATATACAAATATACTACGCATTTTTGGACTGCTATGGTACAGGACGAACAAAAGGAAATTAAATATCAAAAGGAAATATATTTGCAATGCTGGTTAAATAAATATAAATCCCTGTGGTTCGAGCTCGACAACTGGACTCTGTGGCTCAGTTGGTTAAGGCCCATTTACACGATACGATTAGTTGTATACGATTGTCATTCTGACGAATGAAAACGAGTGCTAATGCCACGTTATTGCTCATTCGCTGATGGCGAAATTTGAAATGTGACGTTTGTACGCGTGTTTATTCGATCACATACGTCAGAGTAAGAATCGTATACAACTAATCGTACCGTGTAAATGGGCCTTTAGAGTGCTCGACGGGAATCGCAAAGCCACATTAAGGGTGTACCTGAAAAGAGCGCAAGGAATCCCTGGGTTCTACTGTTTATGACGTCAATTTCATGGAGTGTTACAGTATGGACAACTTCTTTTCTCTTCTGAAGTTCACCTTCAGGACATTGGACAAACTTCGTCTGCAATATGAGAGATACAATATTATGCAAGTACAGAAAACTATTTCACAGTGTTTGCAGTGCAGATCTCACTAAGTTTATATCAGCCAGTGGACAGTTTGCTCATTCTTCAGGTCACAGGTCAAGGCCGCAATATATATAGTTTTTTGCAAATCAAAAGTAGACAAGGAGTTCTCTCAACTTCTCAACAACATCATCAAGGTCAAACGAGAACAAGAGTTTCACGAGAGCTAACATTTCAAACGTAGTCCCCATATGCAGGCGAGAGAGATTCCTCGTTCAACTCTAGTTATCAAAACATTCCCTTGAGTTTTTAGCACTATTTGAGTAGTTTTTGAATTGGAAAATTGTCTTGGCGTGGAAAAACGTGAGACGTCCGTATTGTGTGATATAGCCTGCGTAGCAGGCGGTATTCGCGGGCACGAGAGAATGGGAAGCTTGAAATACCGCCTGCCCAAAAACTACACATTCTGAGTTCTCCCCGGCAGCTGGGTGCCGGAGCATTCTGATTGGTAGCCTGCGTAGCAGGCAGTATCTGATTGGTCAGAATGTTGATTTTGAATTTTTGATTGACAGGAGTACAGAATTAGAATAATTAGTGCTAATTTTAGAAGTTACTGTCGTATTTATAATATAAACTATTGTTATTTTCGTAATTGATACCGATATATCGAGTGATGGCATACACTAACCAAAAAATAACGAATGTATTAATTGAGAATTAAGCGTTGAATTCTTTAATCTTTATCTGGAATCGGAAATCGCTTCGTCTTGAAGAATGAACAACGAATATCAATCCAACATTTGTTGCTTGAAGATGTGATACCGTGATAAAAGTGCAGATTTGAAGATACAGGCTCGTAAATGACACTCTAAGTCGTGTTTTTGATAGCGATTGGAACAAGCCTATTACAAAGTTACGTCTGAAGGGGCCGAAGTTGTGTTCGGCGAAAGGTATGGCTAGTCTATTTTTGTTGACAATTGCGTAATTTGATAATACACGAACTCGCTTGACTTTCAAAGCTCATAAATCGCTATAATGTTGACATCGACTAAAACTATCGCTATGAATGAGGACATATTGTTACACTGAATCGAACGTGGTATTTTTGTCTTAATAGCATTGAATGAACCGAAGATATGAAACGTCAAAGTCGTATATTTGCACTGGTGTAAATACGTGAGTTTGACAAATAATTAAAATAAATACATTACTGTAAGATGGGCGGGACCATGCGGTGGGCGGAACTCAGAATGTGTAGTTTTTGGGCAGGCGGTATTTCTAGCTTCTACCACCTGCTACGCAGGCTACTCTGCTGCGGTTGTACTCGATTTATTTCTAGTCAGATAAGCATGTGCAAATCGAGTGAAATGGTCGACGATAACCAATATGTATTCATATCCGCCAGAACTTTTCTCGAGATGTATGTAATCGATTGATATCAATTCGAACGGAGAACACGTTGTTATACTACATAGTGGTGCACATGTTGGTCGAGCGGGTCTACGTTGTTTGAGACAACCGCAAACATTAGTAACAAAATGTGTTATTTCGCGTTCCATATTAGGCCAATAGAATCTTTCTCTCGCTAATTGTACCACTCTCTCCGCTCCTAAATGTCCCATATCCTGATGCAGTTCTTTGTAAACCGAAGGGAGAAATTTTCTTGGCAAAACGAGTTGTGTGTATGGACCGCTTTCGTGTAGTAATCCGTCCTTTCCAATCTTAAGTTTATGCCATTGCCGCAACAGGGTCTTGGTATTGGGTAGTTCATTTTTCGCATCCTGAATGGATGGGCGGCGCCCCTCGAGCTTGAATGATCGTACCTTACCGATCGACAGATCTTCTTTTTGTGCCTTGAGAATTACATAATTACCGATGCACAATCTACACCCATCGTTAGTTAGAAAATCGTTATCAATATCTGGGAGATCTTCGTCGAGTGTTAGAGCTGTAACCCATGTAGCGTTTCCATATTGCTGTGCGGTAATACCCGTAATTACAGCCTTGATGTTTTCACTAGGTACCTCCTCCGTGCACATTTCTCGGTAATTTGCCAAGTCTACAGGCATCCTTGACAAAGCATCTGCATCTTGGTTATTACGCCCCGGGCGGTACTTTATGTCGAATGTGAAATCCACGAGTTCGGACGCCCAACGATGACCCGTTGCATTTAATTTAGCTGCTGGCAGTATGTATGTTAATGGATTATTATCTGTATAGATCGTAAAGTTCGGGGCATAGTATAAAATGTCTCGAAAGTGTTCGCAGACAGCCCACTTTAAGGCTAAGAATTCTAACTTTCCAGCATGGTACCTTCTTTCTGCAGGGTTTAGGGATCTCGAACCATACTCGATTACTCGCATCTTTCCCTCTTGCATTTGATACAACACAGCTCCAAGTCCCCGAAGTGATGCATCTGTATGTAACTCAAACGGTTGATTATAATCTAGGTAACCCAGGATAGGTGGGCTTATGAGACAATCAAGAAGTTCACTGAGAGCATTCTGGTGTCGGCTTTGCCACTGAATTGGTTGTGATGATGGTACACTGTTTTTCACATTACTCGAGTTAGAATTCACATCAGGTGGAGCTTGTAAAAAATCGAATAGTGGTCTTGCGATTCGTGCAAAGTCCTTAATATATCTCCGATAGTAGCCGAGAAGTCCCAGACGTTTCCGTAATTCGCCAATTGTTTTCGGTTCTGAGTCCTTTAATGCTCTTACTGTTTCAGTCTTTCCTGGGTCGAGTCTGTACCCCTCTGCTGACACAATCTGTCCCAAATAGTTAACTTCCCTTTGAAAGAAATTACACTTTTCTGGTTTTAACTTAATTCCATTGGCACGTAATCGTTGTATAACCAAACGGACATGCTCAACGTGTTCATCAAATGTTTTACTAAATATAATAATGTCATCTAAATATGGGATGCAAATGTCCTCTTTAAGACCCTCTAGGCAGTGTTCCATAAACCTTTGAAATTCTCCGGGTGCATTTGTAAGCCCAAACGGTATGCGAACCCACTCGAATAAACCCCACGGGGTGATAAAAGCAGTTTTGTGTCGACTTTCAGGATCTATATAACCTTGATGATAGGCCTTCCCCTGATCTAACACTGTGAACCATTTGTTACCATCAAGGCTTTCGAGCGTCGCTTGCACTCTTGGTAATGGATGTCTATCAGGTACTGTCTTCTTATTTAGTTGTCTGTAATCCACGCATAGCCGAAGGTTCCCATCTTTTTTTATGACACAGACCACTGGCGATGAATACGATGAACGTGATTTTTGAACATACCCCTTATTCAGTAAATCCTCAACATACTGTTTAACCTCTGGATACAGAGGTCGTGGAATAGCTGTGTAATTCTTCTGTACTGGAACTGAATCTGTAAGATGAATATTCATTTGTAGACCTTTAGCATCGCCAATTTCGCCTTCTCTTGAAAATGAATCTGCTTCTTCTTTCAACATCTGTTGTACTTTCCATTTCTGTTTGTTTGTCTGTCCCTCAAGATTCACTTCAGGTAGACCATCGGAGTTTCGATTTCCCATTAGTTTTTCTTTAGAACCGATGCTGTCGACACTGACACCCACTTCCGTCCCATTACATTGAGGCTCATCTGTATTGTTATTAGTATTCTTAGACTGTATAACATCCATTGGGTTTATTGATCTCACCATTTGAAGCGTTCCTAACACAGTTCTCCTTTTCAATACAATAGCACGATTACTTGGATTGTTAACTTGAATACTGACTCGAGCTCCTCTTGACACAACTGTGAGTGTTTCTGGTACTTCTAGTCCATCCACCCAAGGACACTCTAGGTTGGGCTCAAATAACACTGGTACTCGCATTTCCAAGGGGCCAACATCAACATGACAAACTACCTTTAACGATTGACCTGGTTGAATTACTATGTCTCGTTTAGTAGTTTTAACATTACACAAGTCTGATTGTAAAAATGCCACTAGAGCCTCAACTTCAGCACGTTCAATATCCATTAAACTACAACATAGCACATCCACAAAAGATGTGTGTTTGTCCTGGTTAACTTTCACAGCCGATTTTCTAGTAATTTCTTCAATTACATTATACCCCACAACCGGTAAATCGAGAACAACTTTGCTGACTAAAATGGTATTTTTAACCCATAGTCACTATTTGTCCCGAGAAGTGAAAAGTCAATCTCTGTCCACCCACAATATGGCAGTGCAGTTCCATTTGCTGCTTTTAGCTCTAGTTCATTAACCCCGGGAAGTTCCTCCATTCCCTGAATTTTTGCCTTTGGCAAATGTTCCTGAAGCCAAGCACTAGAAACAATTGAAACTTGGGCCCCTGTGTCCCAGAGAGCAGTTGTCTTCACCCCATTCAATGAACATTGTACAGTACATTTCCTCCCCACCAACCGTGTAATGACTGCATTCTCTCTAGGGGATAAGTGGCATGCATAGACCCCATCGTCAACAAAGTTTTCTCTTAACTTTTGTTCATGAAGGTCTGATAATTCATTACATAATGTTTTATGTTCATTCCAATGTTTACATTGGCAGGCTTGGGAACAGTATCTGAAAAATTTACACTTACTGCACTGTTTAAATGGAGTGTCTGTTTCACTCACTTTGCAAAATGTACAAGAATGGGACAAATCAGTTTCACGGGCTACTCTCCGTCCCTTGGGCGTAGCCGTTTCCCGTTTCTTCTTACACCCTCTTGCAAAATGTTCACTTGATCTACACTTAAAGCAATGGTCACAGACCTGTTCCACCAGACTGTTTACATGAATCACATTGAACTTTCCTTTGCTTTTGACGACTGTGTGATGGTCCATTATCAGCTTCCCCCTGACTTTGTTGTGACCGGTAGAATGCTTCCTTTAACGATGCCAAATCAGTTTGTACCGATTCCAGAGTTGCAGTCAACTTGTCTTTATCTTCGGCTGTCAAATTCTTCTTCGACTTTGTGCTTTTTTTCTTACTGGCAGGGTCTTCACTGTAGTTTTGACTTGCCCAACCAGGTTCCTGGTTAGTCACCACTTGATTAACTTGAGCACCTTTCTTGACTCCAGCCATCTTGTTTTGTCGCTCCGTTTCTGCCGACACAGCAACATTAACTCGTTCCATTAATTCCTCGTCAGTAACTCCAGGTTTTTCCAAGAAAGGACGTAACTTAGCCCGTATTTATTGTGACTGCATCCCTGTCTCAACAACATGCAAGAATAGAGATTGTACCAGTGATTTTTCATACTTGAAAACACTATCGTCCGCTTGAGATGCAAATATTACTTGCTGACGAAGGTTCATAGCTCTTATTAAGAAGTCCTGTGCCGACTCCTTTGGGCCTTGACACAGTGAAGTTAATTCTTGATACATTTCTGTTCCAGGTTTTTCTTTAAAGTGGGCCCGTAAGATTTGCTTTAAACGAGCTAACGATCGACATATCGTTTATCATCTCGAGATACGAGCGACGCTTCAAATTTGGACTCACAGCTCTAATAACTGCTTCGACAATCACCGACTCCTTATAGCCTGATTTAATTCCAGTTTCAATCTGTCTGGACAGACTGACAAAAGACAAGCTGTCCCTTTGTTTGTCCCCACCAATTACTCCGATGATCTTAAAATCACGCTTTAGTGCTTTTACCAAATCAACATTTAATTTATCAACCAGATCTTTTGAGGGGTTTCAGACAGTTTCCGAATCAGTTTTACTCGTTTGTACTCCGTCCTCATTTTCCTGCGTTTGCTCACTGCGTTTGTTTCATCTGGAGTTTCTAATGGTGGTGGCTCGGGTGTCACCATCGTAATATAGCCCTCAACTAAAGCTTTCTTGTCACCCGATTTCTCCAGATTTGCTTCGATTTTCTGACGAACTCCCTTTGATAATTGAATTTTTCTTAACCCTTCAGTATTTACTTTTACGTGCTGCGCGAATTCCACGAGTGCTTCCATCGTTAGATCACAAATTTCCGACTCTAGCTTCAGCTGTAACACTTCAATTTCCTCGTCAGCTTCCGTCATAGCGAAGTATCAAAAGATCACACAACGTACACGCAAAAATCCCTTACAAACACGACCAAATTTTACTTAATTTTTCGAATTCTTTTTACTTCCCAGTACCAACACCGTCCCATTCAACAGAAAATCCGCATTTAACAAGCCTTCAAAACCGTATTTTTACGACTAAAACGACAGAATATAAACCCGTACTCACGCCTTAACGAAATATATCCACATCTTTGCACAGTATTTTCAACGTTAAAATCCCTTTGTGGGTCCTGGCAGGATCGCCAAAATGTAACCCGTGTTCCTATCGAATAGTAACACCGGTCAAGAAAGACAGAAAGTTAAATTAAACTTGTTTTATTCACATAATTTCGCTTTAAAATATAAAACTAAATATTCACCCAAAGGCTATCGTTTTCAACTTCGAGCATGCTGCTCTCTTCACTCCCGGTCATGTGACACAACGGAACTAAGCTAAACTAAACTAAACTAAAAGGGGGAGGGGTAGTACTTTAAAAACCCTAAACGGCTATACCCCTCACACATGCAACCAGGCCTTGGCTGACATTTGTGGGTGGCAAAGATCATGTGAACAGCACACAACAACTAGCGAAGGAGTACAGTAAAAACACAATGCTGTTGTTTATTAGTACTTTTTTTGTTCTCATCCTAAATACACGAAAAGCATTTCGTTCAATTCTAGTTTTGTTAGTAGTAATGTGTATATTGTAATTAAATTCAATTTTCAAATCATCTTTTCTATCGCATACGTAAATACACTGAGTTTATGGCTTGAATTTACTAATGCTTGAACAGTTTTGAATTTATTGGACTAAAGCATGTAACAAATTATTTAAGAAAGCGAACATTGTGATTTTTGTCCAGGTTAATATTTCCATTTTTCAGACACGATGTTTTCTTATACAACATGAACAATCATGTAAATAATCAATTCTCGTAAAATCCATTCTTACAAACGCACATAATTCTGTCATACTTACAGTTGCTTGTGCCCGGATCTCCTCCACCATAATTTACTAATTAGTAAAACAAGGGATGAAAAAAACAAAGTGAATATAAGACTAGGGCCCAGTCTACCTTGACGTGGGCTGCGCAGGTTGGTCACAAATGAATAGAGTAAACCAAATGTGGGTTCGTCCGATACATCTGTCTATAAAAATGACATATAGCTCAAGATTAATCCCAAGATTAATATTGTATTGTGTTTGTTCGAGTGTCATACGTTTGTTCTTGAATCGAAAATATTTTTAAGAAACTTGAAGAAAATATTTCGCAACAGTTAAAACAGATTTCTTGTCACCCAATAAATTTCTCTGTATTGAAAAATCAACATAAAAACTGAAAAATATGATAATATGAGAAGAGTAGGGCGAGTATGGAACAGGATTCTGGTGAATATGGAAACGAATAAAGTGAACAGCTAGGTGGAGAAATATGGCGAACAAATTCGGAAGACGAATATGGTGACACATTTGGCGATTATTTGGAAAATTCTCAATACAGCATTCCAACATAAAGTGTTAGTAATTAACTAAATGACAATGGAAAGCAATAAATTATTGGTACTTTATTATAAATATTCGTCGCACCTTACATGGTATTACTTTTTACATAACCGAGGTCGACTTAATTGCAATTGAGTATACAATGCAATTTTTAGTCTATCATGAGTTAGTGAATTGAAATCAATTAAGACCCTGATCCAACTTACCCTGAGCAGTTTAAAACGTTTCTGTATAAGAGCTTCAAAAGATTCGGTGTCATTTCTGTTTATAATAAATGGAGTATAGTCGGAGACATATTCCCTGCTCCACCATGATTTCTCACTGATAACAAAGATCAAATGAAGAATGTATATATCGAATATTAAGGCGATCTTGCAAGTTCCACACTGAAAATCAGCTTGAATACGAACAGAACATTGACAACATTGTCTCGTTAGTAATGATACTATTCTTTAAAAAGTGAGTAATTTTATAATTTTTTGGATACAACACCTCATTAAACACTATTTCTTTTGAATTGGCTGTCGTATAGTCTGTTCTTTACTGTATTTTGTTCTGTATTACTGTAGCCGATATCGATTTATAAGCAAATGCCGCGATACAATTCAAATTTCTTTTTACACATTAAAATGCAGTAAATGCAACGAAAATCATGAAAGAACAGCTAATTCTCCTCAGCATGCAAAGTACCAGCTTTTACGTGTGAAAGTGCTCAAAAATTGTTTGAAACTCACTTTTGTTTGCTCTATTTTAAAGTACCTATGACACGAAATTTTACCCCAAATGTTTCTGATTGTATTGTAAAGATCACTTAAAATGACTTAATAATTTCTTTTATAGAATTTTGGTAACTTGCTTCCTTTGCAAGATATTCAACTTTGTTTCATATGCAAATATCACCGGTGTGACATCACATCGCATGACATTTTGAAAACGCAATATTTTACCTTGATAAAATATTTTTACAAACAAATACAAAGGGTTAATTGCCAGTTGTGAAATTAATACATATACAAGCCCAATTTTTAAGTTTTTTAGATACGTATTCGTCAAGAAAATTATACTTTTCTGAAAACTCATTATGTGATGTGATGTCACACCAGCGATATTTGCATATGAAACAAAGTTGAATATCTTGAAAAGGGAGCAAGTTACCAAAATTATATAAAAGAAATTATTAAGTCATTTTAAGTGATCTTTACAATGCAACCATAAACCTTTGGGGTGAAATTTCGTGTCATATAGGCACTTTAATTGTCGAACAATTCAATTCATTTAGGAATTAATGACAGCATAAATACCTCATCTGCGACAAAACGTTCCAAAAACTGGTGGTATTTTCGGTAAAATGATAGCGATATAAATCAACTTTAATAAACTGTGGCGGCTGGTGTTCAAAATGCCCGTCATTCAATAGACCGAGCACCGGAGACTTTCCAAGTAGTAGTTTATGAAGTAAGCTTAAAAACCACGGTTTACGATCATAAGTGCCCAATGAAGCAAACCACATCTGCCAGTCAAGTCGAGGTTGGTGAGGAGCTAAACAGAAAGAAATATCAGAGTAAATTTGGAAGGTCAACTCGGCTTTGCATGGATAAAGTCTACAAAAGATATTCATTATTCCACTGACCAGCTTGACCTACTGTGTTGTAACGTGTGCGAAAAATAACGGATAACGAGAAGATTATGGCCAAAAAAAGAGCAGAATGTGGCAATTATGGAGACGAATATGGTGAATATTGAGGTGAGAATGGCGATTATCGAGACGATTATCTACAAGACGAATGTAAGAATTATATATACAGGGTGTATACAAAAACCTGCAGAGTTAAAAAATGTCCGCTAAACTGCAAATTCCGCAAATTTTCGAGTGCAAGAGGATTGTTTTTCCCTGACAGAGGTCTCTATTTGTGCAGAAAAGCGAAGGAGAAGAGACCTCTGCCTATATCTGACACGTTTTCTGTCGCGCATGTGCAAAAATTTCCATGACAATGAGAATGACAATGATCACGCTGGGCAAGCTGCCATTTTGACACCATACGGGCCAAATGTCATTACAGCGTAATTCAGCTCTGAGCATGCGCACTATTCGTTTCCCTAAACCGGTTTCAGAACTTGTTTTACAAACTGGTTTAACTCGTTCACGATCATGACTAAGGAAGTGTCAGACCTAGGCAGAAGTCTCTTCTCATTCGCTTTCTTGCACAAATAGAGACCTCTGTCAGCAGGTAAGGTTGTTTTTAAAAACCACTCTTGTTCTTAACTAGGGATCCAAGGATATTGTGAAGTTTCAAATTGAAAAAGATACTGCAAGAACTATATAGGGTCGCCGACAACCTAGAAAAGCTGATGGCTTACGCTACGAAATAAACAGGCACACGAGTAGCGTGACGTTTGAAACAAGCCTAACACATCAGAAACGTGCCTTGTGAAACTGATACTATTTATCTCTTTATTGTGATGCTACACGCGACAATTCGAAATTCAAATTGTTTCACCAACAACCAAATTTTGCATATTCTAAATTTTCATTTGCATTTGCATTTGCAGCTGTCGCTAAAAGCATCCCCACGAGGCTACTGATATGCTACACTTATCTAAAACTATGATTATTCCCATCATCCTTTTAGTTGAAACTTTAATTGAAATAGCTGTATAAGATATGTTAAGAATAATAAGCACTACGTCGTTACATGAGGATAACCTCATCCGTTCCGTATTTTATCTACATATCCGTTCCGTAGATCCGCTCCACCCGCTACCGCATTCTAACCTAATTTGTGACATGTTTCACAATAACAAGTCTTATTGACTTTTCACTTTTCCCAGTGTCACGTTGTGTCATATTTTCAGCTTTTCGCATATATTCAATAATGTCACTTTAGATTTCAATAGTTTCACAGTTATCGCAGTGTTTAAAGCGGTTTTGACAAGCTTTGATACAGTTCTGTGTACAGAATACTACAGATTGATGCTCGTAAGATCTGGTAGAGTTATCGTTGCACTGAACACGAGTTTGCACCGTTGACAACGGCGTTGTGCTAGACAGTAAACAAGGTCCGTGACGGTACACGTTGGCTACATGTACCTCCTTGCTTTTTTCTTCTATTGCATAAAGCTTGTTGGCGATATAACACGTTGGCGATAACACAATGGCTATCTCCTCGTCTTTCTTCTTTAAATAAGGAGCTCTGACTCAACTGATTTATTTAGTCTCGCAAAGTTATTTTCTTCGTAATGCATGAGTCAATGTAAACCCCGACCTCCCCCACCCCGGGACAGGGTGGGGATTTGACTTTGACCTTGTTCTAATATTCGCAAATGCCCCACATCCTGAGGACTATCAAAGGTTCCGAATGTAAAAAAATGTCCCCTGTACCTGGGGCCTTCGCCCGTAAATTAAGAGTTTTTAATTAAACACTGCTAAAACAGTTTACATTTCAAATAACTATGTATGGACTGCAATGAACTACTATGAATTGCATTTGAAAAAGTTTAGTACAAAAAGCACACGAAGCAAACTAAGATACAGTAATACAAGCTAGACGATAAACCGTTACTTGATTACTAATCCCTACCCAATCCCCATACCCTGGGGATAAATAAATTCTAAAAGCTTCAAATCCCCCACCTTCTTGGGAGTGTTTTCTGATCTAAACCCCTACCAATCCCCTATTAACCCCCACCCTGGTGGGCGGAGGGGGTTACATTCATAAACGCTCGTACAAACACCCGCTTCTGTTTGATAGTTGTTTACGCTTTATTGATCTGATGCAATTTTTCGCTCTTTGTACTGAGTGTAGCCATCTATTCTGTGATGTAGCACCTTATACAGTCAATATGACAATGTATAATGAATACACGGTCTAAATAATATCGATGGGCACTTAATTGAATGCCGGTAATGCATAACATCAATTTATATATTGTATTATTGCGTAGAATCTCAAAGATTTTCTCAATATTCATGTCCTGAAATGTTTATATACTTGAAAACAATACTGTCTCGCTTCTTCCTATGTACGGTACCTCTGTATAATGAGTATACCGTGAAAATAATATCGGCACTCAATTGAATGCCTAGAATCTCAAAGATTTTCGACTCAATATTTACGTCTGAAATGTTTATACACTTGAAAAAAAGCACTGTCTAGGCGGTCTAGCTCCTTCCTAGCTCTGTGTAATGAATATACCGTCTAAATATTATCGGCACTTAATTGAATGCCCGTAATGCATAAGATCAATTTATATATTGCGTAGATTTTCAAAGATTTACTCAATATTCATGTCTGAAATGTTTATAGCACATCGTCACGCCATCGTGATCTACGGCTTGATAGCGCATTTGCGCTACTAAAGAAAAAATCGGGTGTTCCGGGGTAAAGATCCTTTACACAACATGAGAAGCGAATGATACAAAATTTACAAAAAAATTACAATAACGAAAGCGATTCCTCGAAATTTTTGTGAACTTGCATGGCAAAAGGAGAAAAGAATATTTAAATAAGACAACTGAAATTGCCTGAATAACCTTCAAAGTACTGACCAAGTACAATAAATCACTACGAACATAAATCGTACACCCCCCCCCCGGAAAGTTTACTCTATGACTGACTGACTGACTGACTGACTGATTCGTGTGAATTTTCGCCACCATCACAATAGTGTGAAGTGAAACTTCACACTAAAAACCAACCATGGCTTGCGCACAAAAAGGAAAGGCCTAAAACACAATTTTAATTCATAGGGCGCAAATTTGGAAGGTGGTTTATGAACTATCAAAGTACCAGACAGTTTGATGTACACTATAAGTCCAACGCGCGACCCCTGAAACGTGGACTTTCTGCCGTATTAGCAGTTCATACACAATTTTTTAAACGCATGAATGATTTTATGCATGGTTGATTTCTCTACAAAATAATTTTACTTTTCAAAATAATTTTAGTGGTATAAATACTAGTAGATCCCAAACTATCCATGCTTTATAAGAGTTTTATAATACAACCGACCCCTGGGCTCTAATATTTTAAACAAAACTCCGTATTCCGCCCGGAATATCGATTATTAGTATAAACCTACTAGTAGGCTATCAGATTTCGTGCGTTCTGATTGGCTACGCTACTAGTAGGCTATTAGTGATAGCCTACTACCCACCGGGCACACGACGATGTTTCAACGTTGAAATTTGGTAGAAAAAAGGTTGCGACGTCGACAACCTAATATCAACGTTGCTCTGACGTTGTTTTACAAAACATTGGTTCAACAGCAGCCAACAGACGTTGAATTAACGTTCATTCATGGTTAAATGTACGACGTCGATTGGTGAACCAATCTCAACGTTGTTTTAACGTGGATTCAACGTTGAATTATGGTTGACGAGATTGGCAACCTAATTTCAACGTTGTTTCAACGTCGAAACAGTAACGTCGATCCAATTTGCATAGTCAACCCTTTTTCAACGTCTATCCAACGTCTGGAAGGTCATTTCCAACGTTGATTCAACGTTGGATAAACGTCATTTTGCCCGCTGGGTAGTAGCAACAAGCGGCAAAGGGTGAGAGAGTGAATGGACCTTTAACCTTATAACTAAAATTTTGATCTAGACAAGATCCAAACACCCGATTTTGGTATCAATTTCCCGTTTGTAATCTAAAATGACTGAAAATTGCAATCTTCGCAGGGCTATATTATCCGCATTTTACAACATTTCGTAACGAAACTTTGGAGTATTACTAATTTTGTGATGCTCTTTCAAGCTGTGATGAAATTTTTGTCAAGATCAAAATTTTAGTTATAAGGTTAAAGGTCCATTGCCGTTTTTAAGTATTAAAAGCTTCATTTAAAGAGAAAAAGCTTATCAAAATGGCTGGATTACATACAAACAACAAAGACTTTTGGAAACTGCTGACACATATACGGTAAAAATTAAATGTCGAGATTTTGGTCGAGTTTGTTTTTCGCCTTTTTTGAGCCTTTTTAATCATCGAGTTTTTCGATTACATTTTAATCTAAACTTTTGAATATGTATACTAGATGATGGAAATGGTTTGCCTCTTTATTTTTCCAGATATTTTACAGATTTTAACGACATTCGTGTTCCTTAGCGTGCATTTTTATTCTGCTTTTTAACGTAAACATTATTTAGTAACAATTCGGGAAGCCATTCTTTGTTTCAAATTTTGGACATTTTAAGCCTTGTTTCCTTCTTTTATAATTAGCCAAACTTTGCTTGTATAACGACCCCTTAATTACTATTATACTGTTTTACGACATGTTTTTTAACTTTTTTAAAACTCACAAATAGTATTTTTCAAGTCTTTTTTGGGAGTTCCAACTTGAGTAGTTGTCAACAAGGCCGAGGCGAAATGTCGCCAAAGACTCGGCCGAAGGAAGCCATTTAAACGCTCATTTCGTTAAAAAGTTATTATTTTACATAAAAATCAAATTAAAAATTCAGGTTTCTTTAATATGTGGTTTATACTAAAACAATTAGACAAATCAGCCTCGTTGTCTCTGGGCGAATAGTCAACTCGGCTTCGCCTCGTTGACTATTCGCTCATAGACAACTCGGCTTCGTTGTCTAATTGTTAATTAACTATAGAGCTAACTATACAGCAATATGTGGACGAAAAATTGTGTGTACAAACCAACAAATGAAGGTCTTGTGTTAACATTTCCAGGCTTGTACAGGAAATCAAACTCCTAGACAAAATAAATATTTTTCTCATTTGATTAAAAGTCTATACCTACCGTGCGTCAAATTAAAAAAAAAATGTTTGTAACTATTCGTCACTTTTCTGGTTAAACTATGAATATTCAAGCTACGCGTATCATTTGCTATATATACAGTGGAACCCCGCCATACGACCACCTCGTTAATACGACCATCCCGATAATACGACCAACTTTCATTTCCCCGAACGACACCTATTGTAAGTATTTTTCTCATCTGAAGACATCGTTAATACGACCATGCAACGACCACCTTTTAATGTCTCTAACTCTGTACGACCACTTAATATACCAAACAATGCCTCGTGGGCCGTTTATGTAGTGAAGACAAGCGTAATTTAATTTTTCACATGTACAGTCAAACAATTGAACAGTAAATTGGATTACATGCAGCTAAAAGAAAGGGCAAACATGACAAAGCGTTTTTCAAAGATGTTGAAATCACATGCACTGATTCCGTTAAAAGTAAACCAGAATTATTGAGAACCCGCCAGTAAAAGGATGAACATAATTAAGTCTCAGAAAACAAATGTGCCCCAAAATTAATTTTATAAGAATAAATAATAAAAGTGTGTATAAATACAGTACTGAACGTCAACAGGCGAAGAATCATGCAAACCAAATGACCACAAGTATATGGAAAGCTATATACCTGGGATGACTCCCTCAATTAAAATCATGGTGCTTAAATTGAAAGAAATCTGACCTTCCATGGTCCAGTTGGTGTATCACCACCTTTGATAATCACTTCAGGTCGACCACCAACACCAGTCATACTAAAATATCAAACCACAGATTTGATGAAATTATATGTTAAGGCTGATGGTTTGCCCATGTGCGATATTTTAGTTTTGAGGGGACTTAACATGTTTTTGATTGCTAGAGTTCATGAGCAGTTCATGAGCTTGGTTGAAGGATCTATTAAACTACCTGAAAATATGAACTTCTATATCTTTATTCAGGTAAATAGATCCATCAATCAACCTCGTTGACATTGTGCTTTACGTCTGTTTAAAATCTTGGATATATAAATGAATTTTTATTCACTATACCTTCTGAACAATCCATAAGAATGAACCATTTCCAAATGATAAGTCCTGTCTTGTAAGGCCACAAGGAATCTTGGGATATTCTTCTGTACACCTCTGTCAATCTCACCAGTGTACAGAACCTGCATGTATAGATCAAGACAACATTAAAACATAGTTTAGTACGCATGAAGTAGACGACATTATCTGACCACATTCTCGGACATCATAAATGTTGACTAAAAATAGTACTGGGCAGAATCAGGTTTTTCAGATCCGGTTCCAGCTGGTTTGCAGCTCAAAGCTGATTTACAGCCGAGAGAGTGAAAAAATGAAACTGATAAAAATAGATATTTCGTTACTAGACATGAATACAACAGACTATGAACCTACACGGCATGATGCAGCGTATCAAAGCATGACACTTGCGATTGTATTACAACTTTTCCTGTGATAAAATAGATGACATAATGACTTATTTCAATTTGGCCATTTGGCCATTTGCAGTAGCCGAAAACGGGGAAATGGTTTGACAACGGTGAAATGGTTTGACGACGGTGAAATTGTTTGATATGAAAATATTAACATATTTCTTCTTTATATTTTAAAAGTTGTTTCCTTTAAACCTGCGAACATGGCCGAAGGCGCTGCCATATTGTTTTGGTCGTTTTCCACTGCCATCTTAAATATCCAACTATTATCGGTATCATACTCTACATTTCAATTGCTCTGTAGCTATAAATGAAATATGCAGTATCCGTATACTCACCAAACTTAATCGAAACATCAATAAGGTAATAATAGACACTTGGACCAGTTTGAATATTTGTATAATTTTTTCTCTTTTCAATTCCAGTTTTAAACATCTGAAAAAAGTCAATTGCCACCATAGTCCATACATTTAAATTCAACTGTATTTGAAAACTTATCCAGATTGATTTCGCATACAACAACAACAACAACAACAACAACAACAACAACAACAACAACAACAACAACAACAACAACAACAACAACAACAACAACAACAACAACAACAACAACAACAACAACAACAACAACAACAACAACAACAACAACAACAACAACAACAACAACAACAATAACAACAACAACAACAACAACAACAACAACAACAACAACAAC